ATTTGAAGTTAATTTTAAACATATGTAAATATTTTTACTTTTAAATGCTCAATACTAGGTTTAGATAAAAGTTCTCCACTTTCCTGACCAAACAAAAAGATATTAAGTAATAAGTAACTGAAAAACTGTGTACATGCACATGTGGATGTATAAAGTTTTTAACTACGAATCATCCTCTTGGCAGCTGTAAAGTCAGTTTACTTTTCACTATTTAATCCACTACAACTTGTTTAAACTTAACATTTCTATTCACTGTTTTACATCATTTTTAATTTTTGTGTCCTTTTTTGGAAGTATATATATATATATGCCATTAGTCAGGGGCAGTTTTCTTCAGTCTTTATTATGCCCAAATGGCTTTTATCTAATTTGTATTACAATTCATCAAGATTTATATCTGCTTGTGTTTATTGTTTCAACTGTAGATAATTCACTTGATTGTAGATGGTTTTTATGCAAGCCTGTAAATAGGAATATTGTACTCCTTATAGTATGAATAGTATACATACTATATATACATACTAATGTAGAAACTATGTATTTTGAATTGTGTATATCTTTTTTTGACAGTTTCATCATTAAGTCCTATTTACTGATAAGCTTAATAATCTTATAATATTGTCTATAAGGGCCTTTTCTTATGAATAAGGTAAACATGTGTTGCAGTCTTCTTAAACTTATTCTTTATAGTAATTGATCAACGTAACTTCAGTTGAGTTACTGGGATTCTTTTCTGGACCTATAATCTATACCGATGTTTTAAACATTAAACTTAAAACTCAGGGGGAAAAAGGTTCTTCAACTTGAGATCTTCTCTCCAGATCTCCATTCTTTGGAGTTTCCATGAGTGTGACCTGAAGAACTTGGAACCATTGAAATTCAAATGTAGGTAGGTAAGTGTTCACACCAGCGCATGCGTTGATTGCCTTATATCTCTTTGTATATGCATCTGTATTGCACCCCCTCAGTGCCTTTCTTCCTCTTCCTCCCCATAGATCATGTAGGGCCTGTGTCATCTTGATATTTTGTAATTCTGTATTTTGGTCAGTATTTGTCTGTGATGTGTGTCAGGAGCACTCTTTAAAAGTCTTCAGACATTTATGACATTGTGCTGTCTAAAGACTGTCTTTCACACGTAAGTGTTTGCTCTGTACAAGCCTGGGTTGCATTTTGTGAATTGTGTTTGTTGAGCTCTGATAAACATTCCCCTGGAGTTGCTGGTATTCATTGAAGGATGCCAAAATTCTCAGTCCTGCACTGTTTCACTTTTTCAATTCTAGAGAATGTGAACTATATCTGGTTCTAAGAATGTCTTCCAGTTAGTCTCTGATTTAAAAGTCATACTCCTGATACCATCCATAATGAGTGTCACCTACCATCCTTTGAAATCCACTCACAAGCTTTCTTTGGGCAATAAGAAAAAGTGATTAAACTTAATCATTTATTTCCAGCAATAAGAATTAATACCAATTTATTCCACACAAACAGGACCCCTACTTAGCCCTGCCCCTCCAAAAAAAACTATTGATAACATACTAAGTTGTAACTGAAATAGGCAAACAGACCCAACCATGGAATATTCTCCTAGGCTTAAGCAGAGTTTCTGCTCAAATAAGCAAAATAAAATGTTCAGGTGCTTAATGTAATTTTGCTCAAAATATCCAAACACCAAAATCTAGGATTCCTACCATGCTTTTAATTTTTATTTCTTTTCCTGTTATTTCATCTGCCAAGCACATCATTGAATTTCAGAATCTCTATTCCATGTTCTGTTTTGTTTTGTTTTCCATCTCCTATGGAAGTTAGGTAATCCTTTGGCAGTGGTTCTTAAACTTTTGGTCTCAGGACTCTTTTAGACACTTAAAAATTGAAGAAGACCCTATAGAATTTTTGTTTATAAATATGGGCCATCTCTATCAATATTTACCATATTAGAAATTAAAATGGAGACAATTTTAAAAATTATTTAATATTGCATTTAAAATAATAACTCACATTACCATGTATTTTTATGAAAAATAACTTTTCAAAATAAAAAATATTGCTGAGGCACCTGACTGGCTCAGTGTGTAGAGCATGTGACTCTTGATCTCAGAGTCGTGAGTTCAAGCCTCATGTTGGTGTGGAGCCTACTTAAAAAAAAAATTGCGAAATTAAAAAAATTGCATAGAAGAATAGCATTTATTTTACTGTGAATGTGTGATGGGGCAGAATATGATGACCACCAACAGAAGTTGGTGCCACTGACTAGATTGATAATAAAGCCCCAGCAGTTTTACCCACCACTGTTTCTGCACCATTGTGTAAATATCAGTAAAGTACAAAAGGCATATAAAATCTTGGTATTTTTATGAATGTAGTTTTGGTTTTGTGATCCTCTGAAAGGGTTTTGGGGACCCCATTTTGAGAACCATGTTCTAGGATGCCTGCTTATCTTGAAATGAAAATTTGTATCAGTCTGTTTGAGTAAAGTTTTTTTCCTCATCTGGGCCTTCATTATCCAAGGAGAATGACTTGCCTGCAATTGATATGAACAGACTTTAGAGTTATTTGAGTGTAATTTTTGTTTTAGTTAGCCTCATAGAGATGGATATAAAAGAAAGCACCCAAGTGATCAAAAATGAGTATGTCCATTGGATGACTATATAATTTTTCTCTTTACTTGTGTGTGGTATGTGTGTTGTATGTGAGTATACAATTAATTTGGCTCCTGGGTAGCTTTAAAACACATTTTCCCAAAGGAAAGTGATTTTCATGAATTAGGGTGATTCACACCAAATGCCGTTGGGCTATACTTCTTTTTTCTCCTGATTTATCACAATTTCAAATATTCCTGCTTCAATTTGTATGCCAAAGATTTTATGAAACTATGCAACATTTCCTATTTTTTTTGTCCCTCATTTCCCTGGAACCAAAATTCATGATACCTTAAAAGCAGTCCAAGGAAGTGGTAGAGATGCCAAGTTAGGAGAATGTGAAGAACATCATCTTCTAAGTGGTATTCTCCTCTTGAGTTATCTCCATAAAATTTGTTATTTCTCTGATGTCCCTGGACTGTTGGATTTTTATAGTTTGTGCCAACAGTACTGAGGGGGTGTGTGTGATGCTTACATATATTGCAGACATATAGTGGAGTTTGACTCACACTCAATGCATGCGCTAGTGCTCACGCTTACATACCTGAAACTTAATGATTCAACAGCTCTGCAGTATTTGAAGAGGTAGTCAAAATGAGTAAATAAATAAATGAAATTTAAAAATACTGCTAAAGAACAAAGATCTGCAAAGGTGATCCAATAATAAGGAACTTTACTGGTAAGTAATCAAAATAATTTCTGACTTGGAAAGCTTATTGGTGCATGATCGTTAAAAATACTATAACCATAATACAGGTATTCTGCCGATAAAACACGTAACACTATACCTTTTAACATAAGTAATTTGCTTATAATACAGATACTGTGAATCATTCATCAATTGCTGAATTGTATAGTAAGAAAAAATATTTAACATTAAAGGCATAAGAACAAATCATTTAGTTGAATATAGTCTTTTATTTCTGTCTCTTTTTGGACCAGATTTCATAATTCCATTGCAAAATTTGAAATTGTTTTAGACTCTTTGAACTCTAAATGTAAACTTCCCTTTTTCCCAGGCCTATTTTCTTGTTTTGGTTATAGGCCCCCCCCCAATTGAACCAGATAGTATGCATAATTACCCACTCATCAGTTTTCAGGGTGATAAGCGTCGGTTGGCTATCCCTTGATACTTTATTCTAAAAGCAGGAAAAATTGACTACAAAGACCGCCAGGCATATAATCAACTGGAATGTGAGGCAGCTCAACCCACCTTCTTGTTCTTATCTGATAATCACCCAACCACCTCCTTATCAATTGATTAAGAACTAGAAAGAGTGATGAAGAGATTAGTAAGCAAACTGTCAAAGGATGCATGCTTTAAGGAAAATGTTTGTAATAAATGGGATTTTTATCTTTAGATTCCCAGTAGGTAACTTTAAAAAGAATTTGGAGAAAATTATTAGCTTGAAAATGGCATATAATTTTCAAAGGAAACAGAATTTTGAAAGCATTCCTGTATCTTTGGATGAAAGTTATTAATAGTAATAATGTTTTACATAGGCATGTAAGTGTTTATATCTTTCTTAGCATTTTGTAAGAGGCAGTACTTTTGATTTTCATTTGGTTTATTTACCTTCAGCTTTGCTACAGGTATTCTGTCATAATTTGTTCATGAAGAGCCATTGTGGAAATCCAAGGCCTGTTAAGTACTTTAAAACTAATCAATTTCTTAGAAAATGAAGGCAAGCAATGATGACAAAGCATATTGATCTCATTCTCTTTACTTCTCAAGCCAAATTTTCTTTTCTTTACTAAAATGCTTGTCACTCTTATTAAAACTTTGAAAAGAAAAATATTTTAAGTAACACATTTTTTCCTTGTAAAAACTACTTTCCTTCCTAGCAGTCATCGAAGAACATTCTGCTACAAATAATCAAAATGATTTTTGTGTATTATATATATTTTTCATTCTTTATTATGAAGCAGCTGTTTTTAAGGGATTCTAAGATTCTTCTCTTGGTCTTTATTAAATTTGTTTTTCTATGCTTTTCGTATATTCTGCTTTCCTATAATACAAATATTACTTTGTCTAACCTTTTCACATAACTAGCAATGGTAATGTTTAATTATTTATAAATTTTTAAAGCCTACTCTACAAAGGTATACGACCCTGTTTTTTTTTTTAATTATGTTTTGACATGTTATTTGAGTTCATTTCTAAATTTCTTTTAGTCGTTGAAAAGATTCAAAACTCTTGTGAACTAATGTTTTAAGATTTTTCAGACAATTGTATGGATGGACTTAATCTTATTTACTGTAATTGAAATAGTATTGAGTTTGCAATAGGGAGAATAAGAGGTGCTTTCTTCTTACTCATGTTCATTTGATACATAAACACTTTTGTTTGTTTGTTTTTTACAGATTCCCTTCAAGCTCAGCTTATCAATATGGGTGTTATACCTACCTTAGTGAAATTATTGGGCATCCATTGCCAAAATGCAGCTCTTACAGAAATGTGTCTTGTTGCATTTGGCAACTTAGCAGAACTTGGTAAGTCCTAGTCATGAACCACAAATGTAATTAACTTATTAATGTACTTACAATAACTTTTCCTATAGATGTTAACAACCTGGAGATCCATGTAGATTATTTTTTTGAAGCATTGTAGATACTTCAGTGTTTAAAAAAAAGTAGGTCCAATTATATCTATGATTATATTGTTTATAATTGGAGCTCCTTTGCTTCCCTCATTGTTTTATTTATCAACGTTTAAAGTTTCCACTTGTATATTATTTAATAGAGTTGAATATTTAAAATGATCTCCACTTGACTTTAGTATTCTTAAATGAGAGATGGTCTTGAAATCAAGTATTGTATTTCTAGGACAAAAATAAAGGATTATTAATTTATTACATTTTATATAAATTGTTTATAGGTTAAAAAGGAACCTAACAGACTAAGGTTTTTTCCCCTTTTTAGAAAATGCCTAAAAATGATAGAGGACTGGGGCTCCTGGGTGACTCAGTCGTTAAGCGTCTGCCTTTGGCTCAAGTCATGATCCCAGGGTCCTGGGATCAAGCCCCGCATCGCGCTCCCTGCTTGGCGGGAAGCCTGCTTCTCCCTCTCCCACTCCCCCTGCTTGTGTTCCCTCTCTCGCTGTGTCTCTCTCTGTCAAATAAATAAATAAAATCTTTAAAAAAAAAATGATAGAGGACTTTTTCATAATAATATATTTATAACAGCATTAGAAAAAATTATGAGAAACCCTTGAAAATCAGAAGGCAGACAGAAACAGACCAGTACTGGAAACACAGCCCAGTCATAACAGAGAAGAGAACTGATGACTCCAGCACCCCTGTCTCTTTTCTCTATTTTATTTTTCTCTATATTCTTAATAGTACTCTCTTCTTTCTGATCTTCCTTCCTGTGATTCTTTATAAAGTTAAACTCCTGATCTGAATCTATCCCAGAACCACGTTCATAATAAATTTTGTATTATGGGGACATTTCACTGTCCCCATAAGGGGATGTTTTGTCATAACTAAATATAATAGCTAAAACAAACAAATTAATTCTATTAATTATACCCATTTTATAAATAAACAGAAGCACCAGGACTCTAACCTTGGATTTTCTGAGAGCTCATGTTCTTACATACTACACATTAAAATCTTGATCTCAGTACTTTCTTTAGCTTAGACTTTAAATGCTTCAAATTTAAATGAATGGAGATTATTTATCAGAGCTAATTTTTAAGTCTTTTTTTTTTTTGTAAAAAAACAGCAACACAGCTAATTTTTAAAAGTCAGTTTTGTTGTTTGTTTTTTTTAAAGAACAGCAGCATGTTTAGATTGAATTTCTTTTCATGAGACTGGAACTTTGGGGGTTTTTTTGTTGTTTTTTTTTTTTAGTACAGTTGATGCACAGTGTTAAAAGTCATTCTTATTCAGTGGGTCATCTCCTGGTATTTATGAATGTCTTTGTTTTCTATCCTCTCCTGCTTTTCTTTTTTTTCATAGTATCTTATTTTCATAAATTCACGTAAGACCAAGAATGAAAGAAGATTCGTTCATTGTTTTACAAGATACTGTTTTCCATTATTAAAATGGATTGTAGGAATTTGTGTCTGGTATACTTTGTAGAAATAAAACAGAAATCGTGCTATAATCCCTGATAATGTCCTAATCTTGGTAACAGAAACATAAACACCATTAAATGTGAGTTGCTTATGTTAAGGCATCAGGATTTCTTTGGGAAAGTGCATAGACCACCTCAATTCAGCCTCCTCTCCCTAGTCTGTATTAAAAGATGAATATACACCCAATTAGTCCAATTTCATAGTCTCTTTCCAGCTGTTACTGCCTTTATCCCAATTGGAGGATGAAAGGATAAAAGAAATATTCCTTTACATACTAAGACTTTTAGAGTTTATTTCATGAGTCTTTTATGTCCATGTAATAGCTAGGTTATACATCAACACTGAAATTGAATATATATGCTCCAGAATACTTTTCCTTTTTCCAGTGTGTGTTTTATTGCAATAAGTTAAGAAATCCACAAAGCATTATTATTATTGACATAGGTAAATACCAAGTTCCTATCACATTTATATTACTTACTATGCATATGGCATATCACTATATGCTAGAGTTACTTTTAGTCAAATTTATTAATAAAAGTGTTAAACAGCAGAAATTTTTGTGGTTTTTCTCACAAAAGATGATAAAGACAAAATATAAAATAATTTAAGTGCAATCTATTACAGAATTGGGGACAAAAAGGAAAATGCAGCTGTGCCTTTTTGTTCTCTTTGAGTCCTAGTTTATAGGACTTCCTTTTTATTTGGCTCCAAAATCTTTTATAAAGAAAATTCTCTGCTTAAAATATTAGGATTTAGGGGTAGAGGTGTTAGAATAAAAACTTGTATTTAATTTCACTTCTTTCTGGAAACTAACACTACAGTAAAGGGATACTTTTTTAAAGGTTTAAATCCATAAGGAAAGGGGAAAAGAAAAAAGGGAGAGGAGATGACACAAAAATATTTTAGGACCTGGGAAGAAAGACAAGCAGTAACTAATTTAGCAAAACTTCGATGTGTAAATCCTGGATTAGAAAGCGAAGAAGTAACCAGTTTGCTTTTTGGAATCTTCAGAAGGATCAGAATTTGGTGGTATTAAAATCTCATTCCCTTTCCAGAGTTTTATTTTATTTTATTTCATTTTATTTCAATTTATTTTATCCAAAATGTGTTTATTGAGAGTTTCCCACTCAACTGATTCAGGGTGATTTTAGTGCTGCTTCCATCTGAAGGAGCATCTTTCTGTAAGCCTTGCTTTTCCTCCTGTGGGCTGGCAGAGGACAGGGGAGCAGCCAACACACAGAACTAGCCTTTTTGTGTGGCTAAAAACTGGTGATGTTGTAGCATCCTGGGAGCTTCACGTCCATGAAGTAGGCGTTGAGGCTCTGTGCCAGGCACTTCTTGTGCTTCCCCTTGTCCTCTTCTGGGGTGGGTGGAAGTGATCCTTCGTAAGGGGCATGTTCTCGTGGGGAGGTCATTACTGCCAGGAAGCCCCTTCCCACACTTTATAGTAACTACCCCTTCCCATGTAAGCAAAAGACTGTATTTAGTCTCTAGAAAGGCTAAAAATAGAAAACTTGTAGTCTGGGGACATCAGACTAACTTGAAGTAACAGGTACCAGAGTACCATTCCAAAAATAGTTTAAGTGAAAATAGATACACTGATGTTGAGAACCCCAATGTTATTATCCCATTTGGCCTGTAGAACATGAAGATACTTAGACACAAAGGCCATCTGACCATCCTTATAGATAATCTTGTAGTTAACAAGACTGCTTATATTCATAGCTCCTAATCAATTAGTTTTTAAATCCCAATTTTTTTCATTTTATTTTATTTTTTTAAGCATAATGAGTATACTCTTTAATCCTCCTCCCCTACTTCCCTCATCCCCCAACCCACCTCCCCTCTGGTAACCCATCAACTTGTTCTCTGTAGTTAAGAGTCTGTTTCTTGGTTTGTCTCTCTTTTTTCTTTTTTTCCCCTGCTCATTTGTTTTGTTTCTTAAATTCCACATATGAGTAAGATCATGTGGTATTTGTCTTTCTCTGACTGACTTATTTGCTTTAGTATTATACACTAGCTCCATCCATGTTGTTGCAAATGGCAAGATTTCATTCTCTTTTTATGGCTGAATAATATTCCATTGTAAATATATACCACTTCTTCTTTATCCATTCATCTATTGATGGACATTTAGGCTGCTTCCATAGTTTGGCTATTGTAAATAAGGCTGCAGTAAACATAAAGGTGAATGTGTCCTTTTGAATTAGTGTTTTTATATTTCTTTGGGTAAATACCCAGTAGTGTGATTCCTGGATTGTAGGGTAGTTCTATGTTTAATTTCTTGAGGAAACTCCATACTGTTTTTCACAATGGCTGCACCAATTTGCATTCCCACAAATAATGCAAGAGGGTTCCCCTTTCTCTGCATCCTCACCAACACTTGTTTCTTGTGTTTTCGATTTTAGCCTTTCTGATAGGTGTGAGGCAGTATCTTATTATAGTTTTGATTTGCACTTCTCTGATGATGAGTGATGTTGAGCATCTTATCATATGTCTGTTGTCCATCTGAATGTCTTTTTTGGAGAAATATGTATTTGTGTCTTCTGCAGTTTTTAATTGGATGATTTGTTTTTTGGGTATTAAGTTGTACCAGTTCTTTATATATTTTGGATACTAACCCTTTATTGGATATGTCATTTGCAAGTATCTTCTCCCATTTAGTACGTTGCCTTTTAGTTTTGTTGATTGTTTCCTTTACTGTGCAGAAGTTTTTTATTTTGATGTAGTCCCAATAGTTTACTTTTGGTTTTATCTCCCTTGCCTCAGGAGACATTATCTAGTAAAATGTTGCTGTGGCCAATGTCAGAGAAATTACTACTTGTACTCTCTTTTAGGATTTTTGTGGTTTCAGGTCTCACATTTTGGTCTTTGATCCATTTTGGTTTATTTTTGTGTATGGTGAAAGAAAGTGCCCCAGTTTCGTTCTTTTGCATGTGGCTGTCCAGTTTTCCCAACATCATTTGTTGAAGGAACTGTCTTTTTCCTATTAGATTACTCTTTCCTTCTTTGTCGAAGATTAATTGACCATATAATCGTGGGTTTATTTCTGGGTTTTCTGTTATATTCCATTTATCTATGTGTCTTTTTTATGCTAGTACCATACTGTTTTAAATACTACCACTTTGCAATATAACTTGAAGTCTGAGATTTTGATACCTCCAGTTTTGTTTTTCTTTTTCAAGATTGCTTTGGCTATTCAAGGTCTTTTGTGGTTCCATACAAATTTAAAGATTGTTCTAGTTCCATGAAAAATACTTTTGGTATTTTGATAGGGATTGCATTAAACCTCTAGGTTGCTTTGAGTAGTATAGACATTTTAACAATATTTGCTTTTCTAACCCGTGAGCATGGAATGTTTTTCCATTTCTTTGAGTTGTCTGGAATTTCTTTCATCAATGTTTTATAG